AAGGCTTTTCCCCCAGATGTTTTTGCCTGGGTGAATTGCACTTGTTGATCTCTAAATAACTTACATACAAGATATGAAACAGTTTTATGCAAGGTGCTTCTACTAGATATTTTCTGCCTGACTGAATCACACTTGATATACTCAGTAATATCACAAGGCTTTTCCCCCAGATGTTTTTGCCTGGGTGAATTGCACTTGTTGATCTCTAAATAACTTACATACAAGATATGAAACAGTTTTATGCAAGGTGCTTCTACTAGATATTTTCTGCCTGACTGGACCACACTTGATATACTCAGTAATATCACAAGGCTTTTCCCCCAGATGTTTTTGCCTGGGTGAATTGCACTTGTTGATCTCTAAATAACTTACATACAAGATATGAAACAGTTTTATGCAAGGTGCTTCCACTAGATGTTTTCTGCCTGAATGGACCACACTTGATATACTCAGTAATATCACAAGGCTTTTCCCCCAGATGTTTTTGCCTGGGTGAATTGCACTTGTTGATCTCTAAATAACTTACATACAAGATATGAAACAGTTTTATGCAAGGTGCTTCCACTGTATGTTTTCTGCCGAGATTGATTGCACTTGTCATGTTACATCATATCACAAGGTACTTCCCCCGGATGTTTTTTGCCAAGGTGGACTGTACTTGTTGATCTCTAAATATATTACGAAGAAGATATCAAGCATTCAGTCTTATGCAAGGTGCTTCCACTGGACATTTTCTGCCTGGATGAACCGCACATGACATAATCCGATGTATACCAAGTGCTTCTCCTAGATATTTTGCCTGGGCTGACCACACTTGGTTACCTTAATATAAATCCAAGGCTCTTCCCCTGGATGTTTTTTGTCCAAGCAGACTGCGCTTGTTGATCTTACAATATTATGCAAGATGCTTTCACTGTTGTTTTGGACAGGGCCACGTTTGGCATTATCTGACGTATCCCAAGGCACTTTTTCTGGATATTTTTTGTGCTGGTAGACTGCACTTGGCCTATTTATATACATTTACAGTCCTTCAGCTCAGCTACATGTTCTTATATCTGATTACAGGAACCTTCTTCCAATCTAATTATGATTGTGTCACATGCTTAAGCTTGTTACATATGTGGACATCTTATTTACTATCTGATGTCCACAGGTGGAATCTGTATTACATGACATGGTGCCTATCTGTTAAGTTCTGCCCTATGTGTTTTTTGTTCATTACTGGGCGAAGAGCATACCTGTTTCAGAAGTAATGCTATACCCCACAGGTGTGCCTCCTTTTATAATTGTGGTAAAACTGTTTTTTCACAGTGGTTGTTCTCTGCTTGTATGTTTACCTTTGCTCCTTCACTGGCCCCTCCACCTTTACAATGAGGGATTATAGCTTTGGGTGAGAGGTGGTAGTACTGTTTCGGAAGTTAACATTTTCTAACACTGAAAGTGTATCTCCAATAGGTATTTACCTTCTCTCACCCACTTTCTGCCCTTCCTCCCCATTAGTTTGCCAGTGTTTCTAGTTTGTATCTGCCAATTCTCAAAAGTGAGGATTGCGCTGCAATGTTAGAGGGTAGTCACAGGATCAGCACATATTGCTGCAATGGCACATAAATGAAGGGGTATAAAAGATTGATGCAATATTGAAAATTTTTGTAGCTGGTCAAATTTCATTGTTAGTTACGTACCTCTCCTTTTTACTATAAAATGCATTGAGGAAATAAGAATGATAATTAACATATGGAATTTAAAATAGGCTATGACCAGGCTACAGTTTTAAAGTGTATACTTGTACTTTAAGTATTTATTCCTCACTTTGAAAATTAGGAGTAATTAATTAACATTTATGTACGTGTATTTTAGGTGGTTCATTTTCATAAAATAAATTTATTTGAAAGTTGAAGTTTGGGAAATTGAATTCTATGTATTTATGCTGTCATAATTTATCACTTAATGAGAAAGGTATGAGTGTAGATAACTAAAGATAATTTATGTCATTAAACAATACTTAAACCTTGAATTATAGCAAATTATTTTCTGTACTGTCATATTTGTGTTACAATTTATGGATTAAGTTAATATGGATAATACATTTTTTGTGATCTGAATCAAACGTTAAATCTGCTAAACTCTTTGAAAGGTGATGTGATAAGATAAATACTGATAACAACTTTCATTATGTTTTTCCCTGTTAAATCACATGTGTCTTATGAGTAATTTTCAGTTAGATGGATTTTTTTATTACAACAGATAACGTTACAGGTTATGTTTAAATTAGAATTTTCTTAATTCTTCATAGGCAGATGATTTTCCTGTTACTGAAAAAATATCCCTCCAGTTGGCAGGTCTTCAGGCTCAGGTTATCTTGGGAGAACCACAGCTAGGAAAACTTGAAAAGTAAGAAAGGTTTGAATTTTTAAAAAGTTATTGCATGATTCATGAGGTTTTGGATTTGAAGTACCATAGTTGCTAGAATTATATTAACTTTATCTGTAATCACGTTTGTTTTATTTTGTTGTTGTACTGAGAAGATAAAGTTTATCCTTAGTAAGTTATTATTGATGTTAGGAAAACATGTAGGTTCAAAAAATCAACTTAACACAAAAATACATAATTCTATAGATCTAGTGCTCTCAAAAAGTTGAAGTTTTATTTATCAGGGGCAAACTGGGAAATCAGTAAGTAATATTCTTAATATGTTATCTTCATGGATAATAAAACTAATAAAAAACAACTTCATCACATTTTTATTCATATGTGATACTTTTAGCATTAACACAGTTTGAATAACATAAACATTTTATTTAGCAAAGAAAACCAAAAAATAGCTGATTGTCCAGGTGGAAGAGTTATTGCCTTGAGAAGCAGTGTTATAAAGTAAAATGAACTGTATTTAAATATTAAGAGAAGTTAACTTACATAATCAGCAGAAATGAGGGATGTAAGGTTAACACATGGACAAAACTTTGCCAGCAAATCTTGACTCCTTCAAGACAGAAACAAATTTTCTCTTCTCAAATGTCTGAATCTTTCCAAAAGTGTCAAAAGTAGATGCAACGCTCATTCTCTCTCTAGCTGACCAATCAGAAAACAGGCCCCAAATATCAAGGTCAAGAAGGATACAGTACATAAGATACAAAAAGTAACATTATCTCAACCAGATTTAGAATCAGTTTCAAAATCATAACTTAGTAAAGTTTTAGAATTTTGTAAAGAAGAAATATTGTACTACTAGCAGATGTCTGTTGAAACAGTTCAATGGTACATTCTTTAAAAATAGTGATGAATAAATAAGAAATGTGCAGTCAGCCCTATGCCTTTGATCATAGCATATATGCAATATGATTGTCTAGTGGGCCCCTTACAACCATATTTTGTCATTTGATGTGTTATTTTGATAAGAAAAATTACATTGCATTTATTTTTAAGCAAAGGAGATTTACTGTAACGCATTGTTTGATGCAGTGAGTGCATACAGCACAGTAGTGTTCAGGTCTGCTAAGTAGCCGTGGGGATTTTTTCTGGTGGATGGTACCTTTCCTTGTCATTTTACTGGGCACCAGAAAAGACTGTTACTGAAGTGAGTGTTTTTTGATAGTTGTCACTTCTATAAAAAGTGTCAAAGTGGAGATATTCAACCCAATTCAAATGAATTTATTTGACATGGTATAATAAAATCATGCATGTATATAATGCCGACATGAAAAAAAAAATGTATATATATATAAAATACATACTCAAACATTTTCATCATTTTATGCATTTTTTGCATTCATGCTCTTATCTTTAAAATATTTCTTTCAATCAGTCGACTGAGGAAGTCTCATTTTTTTGTAAAATTCCCTCTCAGAAACAAATATTTTTGTTCTTAATAAGTTTTTTCTCAGATTGACCATTCAGAACATAAGTAGATTGATGGATTGACGTTGATATAGATATTAGATTTTATCAATTGCAAAAAATGAATAACTTTCCTGTAATGTACTCTTGAAAATAAGCATTTTGGTGTATATCTTTTTTTTGACTAACTGTTCAGGAGCTACAGAGTGTGAGAGACAGACATTTGGCTGTTATATGTATATGTAGTTAGATGGGAGAGTAACATATGTAATACTTGTATACTAAAAAAAATATGAAAATATACGAAAGCATTTCAAGATATTTTCCATAATGTGCTAATCTCTTTAAAACACAAGTTAATTTTTGAAAGTTATGCAGTAAAGTTTTAATATACACAAACTCATTGTAGTAACCATCATTTTGTTTCAAATATTAATTTAATTTCTTATACTTATAAGATTGTTATCAAATATTGAATCAATATTTTTAATAATTAGGATAAAGTATATTTATTCCCAGAAATTTAGTGCCTTTCAATTCATAAATTTTCTTGTGTTTTTGGGCATCAAATTTTCATTTGTCAGAGCTCTGTTGGAATTTGGTCCACCAGTCATTGAAAATTTGGTGGGCTGACTTAAAGTTTGGTGGAACAAATTATAAAATTGATATTATAGAATATGTTTTGTTTTAATAGGCAATGATAATCATTAGATTGCAGCCTGAGTGTAGTAATAACACAGAAGACTTGAAAAGACAAAACAATTCAATTCAGATGTTAATTATATTCATATTCTAATTCAGTCTACTTCAGTGTCAGAATCAATATGTGTATCACTGTCTGTATCTAATGCACTGTCATCATCACTGTTCAACTTGGCAGACATAGGCACCAAAACATGCAGGGTTTTGAAAATATCCAAAGTTTTCTGTATATCCACCTGTGCAGTTACTTCAAGGAAGTGTGATGCTGACATATGATCGTTGTACATCTGCCCATGGTCAAATCCCTTGGTTATGTCCAGTTCATTGAGCCATTTATAGTCACTCACTGGGCGATTACTTTTGACTATTGCATGTATATTTCTAAACTTATGTTCTAAACACTTCCTATTGTGTTTTGATAAAGAAATAAGTATTTTTTTTACAACTGTGTTTGTAGGTTTATTCCTAGCTGCAATTCTCTCTGTAGCTGACCAATCAGAAAACAGGCCCCAAGTATCAAGGTCAAGAAGGATACAGTAGATAAGTTACAAAAAGTAACATTATCTCAACCAGATCTTGTAGCATCTTGTAGGTTTATTCCTAGCTGCAACTCTCGCCATTGCATATTTATGCACTTGTGTTTTTCATTATCATTTACATTGCGTATTCTCAAATTATCACACCCAAAAATGAAGACATGCTTTTGTTCTAGGGTTAACCCAATTTGATTTCACAGAATTAACACTATTGCTAAAAATCTCAATACAAACAGTACACTTCATAAATACCTTGCTTTTGTCAAAAGTGAGCCATGCTTTCCAACCCTTTTTCCAGCCATTCTGGAACGTTTGAGGCTTTCTTATAATTTCATAAATTTTCTATTTCTCTTTACTGACATTACCATTCTCTGCTTACAAAGATTTTCTTTTTAACCCTGGAATTTGCCTCGGAAGTGTACTTAATGGGTCATGACACCATTTGTAATCAATTGAATACCAAGTGAATTTTCTTATTGTGAATCTCACTGACTGTATTAAAAGTCATCACTAATTGGTGAAAACATAACATTCATTCTGTATATATAGAAAAAGCATGTATTGCAGTCTTGAGGGAAAGAGATGAGTAAAATGCTCATCAAAAATCATCTGACAATAACCGTAACTGTGAAAATCACAGCAACTTAAGTTAGTATAGCAAAATTATAAAAAAGTCTACTTCAAATTATGCCAGACTAAAGGTTGAACACTATTAAAAGAAATGTTGGAATGTGACAATTTAAGACCTGATGTCTGAGAGGATCGAGAGATTTGTGAAAGTGTGATTTGTTTCAACCCTGTTAATAGCTTTGGAATTTTATGTGTGAAAAAGAGATTTCATGTTTTTTTTGCTCAATTTCTAATATGTATTTCTTACATGTAATAAAATTTAATTTAGATATTCTCATGTGGAAAGCTATGTGTGTCCTCGTATATGTAAAGCAAAAAAAGATGTTGACTGGATGAGAGAAATAGCTGAGGCTCATAAGGTACTGTATTTAACTGTTGTTTTTAGGTTTAGCACATATGTATAAATCTAAAACAAAGGATGGCATCTTGAAAACACTCTTAAAGAATGTTCTTTATTAATTTGTAATAAAAATCAATAGGTTTTACCATAAATAGTGTAAATGTTTTATTATCTAAGTATTTTAAATTTCATCTCTTAAAATGTTGTTTTACCAAAACAATTTTTTTAAATTTTTTAATCAAATAACTTGCATACAGAGATCGATGTTAAACCAGAACAGTACCCTCTCATATGTTTGAGGTCAGTTTTCTTAATATTACAGTGAATTCTGTATTCTATTAGATATGTTTATATTTTGTATGTCAATACATTGGTTTGTGTTATAAACATGATTATGTTATAATTGTAGCTCTATAAAAAATATTAATAAAGGAGTAATGTATAATATATTGGCTTACAACTAGATAACTTGGTGTTAAGTATAGACATATTAAATAAATATGGTAATGATACACTAAAGTAAACAGAGAAAGAGTTGATCTCAAGAGTACCTAAGCTTGTAGGTTTTTCTGCATACAGGTAGCTTGAAATTTTAAAACATCATTTATTTAAGCTTAGTCTAAGATATTATTACTGAATTGTGCAGGATTACATATATGTAGGTGAAGAAATGTTTTTTTATAAAAGCATAAATCAAACATAGCTTTTTGGCTGTGCTCACAAAAATATTTAACAATTCAAAGTCTTCAGTTAATGTTACATGTTTTTTGTAGGTTTATGGAAGTGGAAAATCTGAGTTAGTTGCCAAAGTTTGGTACTTGTCTGTAGTCATGCAGTACCCTCTGTATGGAACGGCTTTGTTTCGAGTGGTCTACAAAGGATATTTATCTTATGGTGAGTCTGGTCAAGAATTACGTATATTTATGTGGTTGTATTGTAAAAATCCATTTTCATTGAATGTGGTGGAATATTTAAATACTTCTTATAAACTCATTTGCTGTTGTCACAGATCTTTAAATAAATATTATCAGCTTTTTGTGTTATTTGTGCAATAAGTGAGTGCCATAATACAAGCTGTCTTTAATCTAATTTATAAGTTATATGTGCAATAAGCGAGTACCATAATACACCACAAACTTTCTTTTAAACTAAGTGTCATGTTCAATATGCAAGCACCACAATAAACCAGAAACTCTCATTATACTATGTTTCATGTACAATAAGTGAATGCTGTAATACACAAAAAACTTTCTTTATAAGTTACATTTGCATGATCTGCCATGATTCAACATAAGGTTTCTATTTAGGCTAAATGATATGAATACCACAACACACCATCATTTATCATGTATTTTGAAGTATGTGCATATCACAAAATATTGAAAGATTTTGTAATATTTTAAAGTAAAAGTTGCTTTAATATTTTCTATTACTACGCAGCATCACAAGACATCAAACATTGTTGTCTTCACAATCTACATGTCCACACATATAACATAAATTCCATTAATGTATGCAACATAAGAAAGCCAAGATATATTGCAGCTAGTTCTATTGTTAGTCTCATGCTGTTATCATCACAATAACACACAGGTTCTATTAACATTTTCAACTGATGATCGAGTATCATAGTACTCAGCATCTTCTAGTGGGTTTTTTTTTAAATGTATACCATGTAAAATATAAGAGAAGTCTAACCATTTTTTACAAATGTGTGAGCCACATTATACTCTGATACCTTGTTTGCAGCTCTGGTTGCATCAGGAACTGATATAAAACCTGAGAGGGTGCTGTAACATAATATTCAGATCTGAAATTTTACTGAGGAACAATAAAATGTATTTGTTAATGTTTCAATACTTTTAACAAATATTTCTGATGAAACTATTTTATCATAGGCCATCAGTTGTTATTAGGTGTGAATGCTGAAGGAATTTTGATGATTAGCCCTGAGGACAAGAATATATTGAATGCATACCGTTATTGTGATATTGATTCTGTTATGGTGGACCCCAGTGATGATATGATTTCCATCAACTTGTTAAAGAGCTTACCTGACACTCACAAGTGTTTTAGTTTTGAAACCTTTCAGAAATATGAAGTAGCCAGTCTCATTGCAAGCTATTCACCAGTCCATGCCAGTTGGTTGAAACCGACTTATGAACTAGGAAGAAAGGTATGTACCTTTCTCTTTAATAATTGAATTGTAGCTGGCAGTCCAAGCAAGTTGGTTGAAATCTAATTACAAACTGAGAAGGAAGGTATGTACCTTTCTTTTTAATAATTGAATCGTAGCTGGCACTCTAAGCAAGTTGGTTGGAACCTACATACCCACTGGGAAGGAATGTAAGTACCTTTATCTTTAATAATTGAATTGTAGCTGGCAGTCAATATCAGCTGGTTAAAGTATAGTTAAAAAAAACGAAAATAAGTACCTCTCCCTGTAGCAAATGTTTATGCCAGCTGTTTGATACATACTGGAAATAGAGATTCTGATTTGTTCAGGCATGTTTATGATAAATTTTGTTCAGTTGTCAGGAAAAGTTATCAGTTATAAAAAAATTATTGCACATCTTTATTATTTGATAAATTATGGCATTAGTTCCTAAGAGAAGAAATCAGATAAGCACATTAGTGGAAGTCTAATTATTATTTATTTTGGATTCATAAAATTTGTAGAAAGAATTTGTTTTTAATTTTGAAGAATTTCTTATACAATTTAACATTCAATCAAAAGTTGTCATTTATCAGTTCCTACAGTACATAAAACTATACTTCAAATATTTTAACACATCCCTCACGAGTCAGGGTAATGTTCGTTATTACCAGCTTGGGGAAGGCTTGAAAAGTGTCAATGCAGAAATGTCTAAAGAGGCATTTTTAGGATTTAACTAGTGATGAGAAATAAATCTGTGTATTTATTTTTGAGTTTTAAAAACAAATGATGAAACTACAAGCAATTGAATGAACTACCAGAACAGTAACAGACAGTACAGGTTCCCTGTTCCTTATACCATCTGTTACTTAACATTTATTTCCTTCTACTTCTTACCTGTGGTCATCAGCATTCTTATATGTATGCCATCAATTCTTCCCACATTATTTTCCATTGATCATATATCCTCCTCAGTCCAGATTGCCCTTTTTGCCCTAAAATGTCTGTGGCACATAGGATGATAGGATATTCATCTCTATATCTTTTCCTTCCATTCTCATTTTTATTCTTGTTTGTATCCCAATAGCCTCCTCTGTCATGTTTGTGCACTCCCTTGTTATTTGGACAACAATTCTTCCTTTTGTGGTTTTTGACCCCATTTCTTCCTTCCATGGAATCCTTCTTCTACTCGCAATCCTTCTCCTGTTACTCTCAATGGATTGGTCCAACAGTATATCTGCTTAGTGTATTTGTCTTTGGGTGGAGAAGCATGACGGCATTTCCAGGAGTCCTTCTTTCAAATCCATTACCTAAATCACTCATTAGCAGCTCACTTCCATCATTCATTAGAGAATATTGTTTGGGTTGGATAACCCCTCACACCTTTGTCTCACATTTTCTCCATCATCTGGCTATTTCTTTTTCATCAGGCTGTAGACTGCCTTTGGTCACTTTTCTTCACACATTATGCCATGTCTAACTGTAGTTAACTGAAGCATTTCTATGAATTTCGAAAGAAGATAAGTACCTACATGACTTTTAATTGTTCAATAATACACAGAGATATTGAAAACTACAGTAACACTAGACAAAGAGAGAGAGAGAGGTTATCATCAATTGAAATGTCAGTTGTGAGCTCATATTAAATTGAACTGCATCTTCTGTGGATAATATAAAGTGATTAATCTTATCAGCTGACTAATAATAGTCAAACATACTGTATTGGCCTGATTATAAGGCAATGTTTTTTGATTGATAATTAGAATGTAAAATTCATAGTTGCTTTATAATCGTTGCCAACCATAGGCCCCTTCTCCCTACTCTAGCCTGTTCCATTCCTGAATTTCCAGATAGCATTTATCTATGCATGAACACCAGATGTTTGCTCAAGGTCATCGCTAATTCTTGCAATTAATCCACCTGCAGGCTGTTCAGTTATAGTATTGAATTTGCTGGTGAATTATTGCTTTGATTGTGCTCATTATAAAATTTATAATAATTGTTGTCTGTGAGTCTTATTTTAGTAATCGACCCTTGTGCAAGAATGAGTGACCACATTGGATAACAGGGAATAAGAAAGTGTCAAATTAAGAAAGGATTATGATGGAGTTATGATGCAAATCTTAAAATTAGGGTGGTTCATTAGGCAGAAAAAACGAACAATTGTACCACTGCTAAAAAATTTCGTGTAACTGAAAATAATGTGAGGCATTGGCAGAAACAAAAGACTGAACTTCCTAATGCATATTCTACAAGAAAGGCATTTCATAGACCTTAAAAAAGACATTATGACATTCAATTTTTGTCTTTCCCATGGTTTCTGAAACTGGGGTTGCCTTATATTTGGGATTGCCCTCTAATTGGGCCAAGATGGTAATTAGAAAAATATAAATATATAATTGACAGTAATTTTCTGCTAAAGAAGTGTTTTAGTTTCTGAATCAGTACTTTGAGTAAGATATATTTCAATCTTAATTATCTACTTCAACTTTACTTATTCATATCTTTCTTCTATAGATAAAACTAACTTTTGAGGATAGACAAAAATTACACCATGATGTCATCAATTGTCGCCGCACAATAGTAAACAGTGGAATGTTGCGGAAACCTCAAAATGAAAATATTGGGATCTTCAGAAGTACCTTACGAAGGTAAAATTTTCTTGAAACTTATTTTGCAATCTTATTTGATCTTAAAAATACTATTATAATTTCTTTTGAGCCTTTTTTTTACTCATAGTGAATATCATTTTCTCTCCAGGATCAGCCGCAGCAGGCTAGAAAAATTACGGCAGGAGCTTGGCGACACTGATTCATTCCGCCACAGCTACTGGTCTTTTACCAAAGTGCAGATTCCACTTAGCCTATTAATAATCTCTGATCAGGAAATGGAAATTGCAGCAACAAGAGTGTTTGCTTCCATTTTGTCTTATTCTGGCCTGTTAGAAGATGGTAAGCTCCAGGATCTATTGTGTTAGCTATAAAAAATATATGAAAAAGAGAGAGAAAGAGAGAAATTAAAAATATTGTACTAGTTCTTAAAGCGAAGTTTAAAAGGTTTTTATTGTTTATAATATATAAAGTAAGGATTTCAAGCATTTTGTCAATCATATTTTTCATTGTGAATAAGTAAGTTGTTCAAACCACACTTGCTGTAAGAAGATAATTGGAGTTGGTTGAATTAAAACTGATGTGGTAAAGCAGTGGTTCCTAACCATTAGTCTATGATCTGATACCTGTCCACAGGGAGATTTCAGCCAGTCTGTAAGTTGGTTGAAAATAAAAATGTGTTTTAAATATAGCTACTGAAATAGATTGTTTTATAGTGCAATATAAAAGTACTTTAAAGCTACTCTTGTTTAAAATGGTCTGTGAAAATTTGGAATCATAATTAAATGTTCTCTTTTGGAACAAAATGTTTGGGAATCACTGTGGTATCCTAAGGATTAACATAGCAAACATTACATGATCTTTGCAGTAATTAAAGACCTGCAGATATAATATGCAGAAGGATAGGTGTAATGATTTGTTGCTGGTGGAATGAAAAAGACAAGATATGGTGTAAAATTGAATAAAGACAAACAGACTGGAAGAAAAGCTTGTACTAGCAGACAGGTCTGTTGTGATTGAAGTTGTACAGTTAAAAACTAATTGAACTGTATTGAAATAAAAACTGAATATAGGAAACTATACTTAGGTAAAAGAAAATGAAGCTATATTTTAATTGCCTGTAAACTGTATTGAAATAAAAGATATATACATAATCAGCAAGCTAAGTAGACTGAAACACAGATGAGACCTCTCAAGTGTGTGTTTTGAGTCCTTCAAATGAGGAACAAATCAGCTCATAAATGCCAGAACTGCATTTACCATTCACCATCTCTATAGTTGAGCAAGATTGGTAAGGGAAGAAGTTAAATAAAGAAGATGGAAATTGAGAATAGATGAAGAAGATAACCCTCAAATAATATTAATGTGGACGTCTCAAAGAAAAAATCATATTGGTGGATGCACAAACAAATGAATGAGAACTGTTGCAAAAGAGAGAAATCAGTTTAACTGGTCTTCTTGGAAAATATCAGAGTTGGCACTAGAGAACAAAGTACACAGAGGAATATCATCAGTTCTGAAAGTGTCCAAAGGCAATAGATTATGACTGGTTAAAGGAAATTAAAAATTTGTTTATGTAGTGAATTGAAGAATGGTTTTTGTGTGGGTTGAAATTTCTCATTCTGTGTGTTGTACTGTTTGAGATGAGATTTATCTAAGATCTCAAATCATTTTGTCACTGTTGTTTTATATGGAGTGTTTTCTTTATGAATGAATTTATTTTTATGTTATATGAACATGAAGTAAAGTTAATGTTAAGTAAAGTTAATATTATTTGTGAAATAATGTTTTATCTTTTGTGTTGTGATATGCTGAGAAAAATTGTGTTTAAGGTATGGTATATTATTAGCTTATCTGTTTTGTGACTTATAGAATAATGTTTGTCTGTGTTTTGGCTTATGAAACTGTTTTTCTGTCTCTGTTGTATCCACAGACAAGCAGTTGGGAACCACTTTTCTAATGAGAAGAAAAAAATGAATAAACAATAATCTTTAATCTTTTTTTGAATATATGTTTTATAATTATTCTTTATAATTGAAGAAATACAAGAAACAAAATTGTAATTTTGTTTTAAGAATAGTGATTGAAAAAATTTTGCTTTGCATAGAAAGAGCAGAATGGACTGGAGATACAGATCCCACACTTATGGCACAGTTGATATTAGGTACTTGTATGAAGAAGGAAATACTATTAAATGAATTATTTCTTCAGTTGATCAAACAGACAACTGATCATCCAGGTAAAGTTAAAGGTTTATATATCCACTTCAGAATATTTTACATAGTCAAGAATTTTTGGTTTTCATATAAAAAGTGTAATTCATAGGCTAATTTATTTTGTAATATTAATCTCCAATGGACATTACTTTATTACTGTCTAAAGAGCAAATTTTTGGGTTAAAAATACTCTACAGATTGAAGACCTATGTAATTTTTTATTTTTTATTTCAGTTTTGGAGTAAGATTAATAATTTTTTTAAGTATAAAATTGTGTAAGTTTGATTTCTAATTACTGTTATTTGTCTTAGTTAGAAAACGTTGTGCAGAGGACACTGCTAAAAAAACGTTTTTTATTGAGCCCTCCTTAACAAATCGGGGATCTTATAAACCTCATATTCTGGGCCAGCATACTTAAATAATGTATAAATTTGGTACATGTAAGAAGTTATGTACATGGCTTTCATTACTATTTAAAGCAAAAGGGTAGGTTTCAAAAGTAGTAGGGGTTTGGGAGTCCTCCACCAGCATATTTAAGGGAAATTGAATGTTAAGCATTTTCAGAGCAGCTAAATCTTGTTTCTGTAGCTAAAGTTTAAGTATTTTAAGATTACTAAACTCTAACTGTTCAACAATACTTTTAGTACACTTTACCATGCACCATTCTATTATATTGTTGTAGTTTTATATTGTTTTCAGTTACTATCATTTAAAATCAGTTTTTTAACCTGTGTATGTTACATAGATCCTTAACAAAGGTGTAAGCTCTAAACAAGGATACTTAGCAAAGGCTGAATTACACCAGTGTAGCTGTCAAAATCCCTCAGGAACAAGGGATTTTCCCAGGTAAAATATTCAACCAGACCCCCACTACTTTGTGCATAACAACCACTAGATTTATACAATTAATAACTTCATCACTAATTTGCATGTAAATACAATCCTACAAACTTGTTTGTGATGTAAATCAGCATTAATATCCATTTTTCCACATCTTATTTTTAACACACACACACACTCATTCAGTCAAGGACCATGTAAACTCTTTTGAAACAAGTTTTTAACCTTAATGTTGCTCCAAAGACAAGGTTTAGCCATTAACAATGAAGACTACAAATATTTATACATATTTGGAAAATACAAGAGTAAATTAATTTAGTACATTAATCATCACATAGTTATTTATATATGTTTATTTTACTGCATATACTAATAGAGTTTCATAGAATCTTTTGTCTCTCATTGTCCAGCTCTATTGATGAGTTCTGGTATTCAATGAATAGCTTATTGGACAGTGACTTCAGGGACACAAAAGATAGATCTGAAATGCTATTTTTTACACAATAGACAAATTAAGAACGTGATGTACTTGTTTCAACTAATAACGTAGTTACTAAAATTAAAAACTCAGTATTTAAATTAAATATTGTGAATAAAGGATATTAAGCACAAGCTTGTGAGGTGTGAATATACAGGTTATACACTGTTAGAATTACTTTGCTTTTCTGTTTGAACAATTTGTTTTTCTCCTATATAGATCCCAACAGTCGTGTGAATCTTCGAAACTGGCAGCTTATGGCCTTAGCCTGTAGTGTAGTAGCTCCTCGTGAAAGACGGATATTGAGCTATCTTCAGGCTCATCTGAGACGCTGTGCTATTGATGAAGTTACTGAGGAAGGCCAGTTTGCTCAATTTGCAATTAAGGTAAGAAAATTATATCATAGTGTTTTAATAACTGACTTTATGTAGAGGATTTGACAGGTATTAGTGTGATAATTTCAAATATAACAGCAGTTTTTTTCCTGTATATTACAGTTTTTTTCTTAATTGCTATATTGAGTTTATAATCAAAACGTTTGTGTTTTTAATCCTCTTGCTCTGAGTAGGACAAAGTGTGCATATCACAACCTTTTAGAGAGTTATATTTAGAATTTAATTAAACTGCATTATTCTCATTGTATATGAATAAACTTGGCATCAAAACATAGTTAATGGATCAAATTTTACTATTATATAAGTTTTTTAATTTTATAAGTAAATATTTTTAAAAACCTTCCATCTCCCTTAGTATGAGAAGTGTGACATTTGCTCTAAAGGTATTCCCTCTTCTCTACCTTATTTACTACTCTTCTGAGAAGTACAGAATATAATGTAAATTACTCACTATACTATAGATATTACTAAGGCAAAGCATACTTTTTAATGCCTTCAATCTTATTTGTTTACTGAGCCATAAACTAGAAAATAAAACCCACTTGCCATGCTCACCTTTTACATGCTCTCTTTCACAAATTGGCTATAGTTGTCTCTGGTGTTTTATACTACATTATTATAATCAATAGAAAGCCAAGGTTTTAATCTAACAAATGACGTTTTATAATATGTTGTTTTTTGTACAGAGCATTGTTTATTTTGACTTCATTTTGAAACTTTTTCTCATGGTATTCACAATGACAAGCTTAGCAGAATTTTTAAAGGTTCTTGTTGCACAGTTAAAAGGCCAGGTAAATTATGGTAATTATAAGACACTGTTTGTTTTGTGTGTTCTTAGATGGATTATTTTAATAAATAAAAATTATGTAGTGTAGTAATACCATTAATATAAAAGATTAGACTTAAATTTCATTGACAGTCAACTGCAAAAAAACAAGAGGACCCAGGTAAATACTATATTTACTCCTTTTCATATGTCTTCTTTATTTATAATTATAAAAATAAGCAAAATGTAAAAATCAGAAAAAATTAAAATTAGATAAGGTTAGATTAGGTAAGATAATGAAAAATAATAATAATTATGAAAATTCTTCTCAAGGTATGCTCGTGAACAGCTCTTCCATTAAGTAATTCAGTATAGTGAGGTGAGCTACATGTTTGCCAAGTCACTTACAACTTGTGTAGCAGGATTATTGGTTAGACATGGTTCAAAGGGCAATAAAATTAGGTATGAACAGATTATATAACTACAAGCTTTAAGCTATTTAGGATAAACAATTATAGTTTCGTATTACAATTTGCAGTCATTCTAGAAAGAAAAAGGTAATTCTGATTCAGTACACTACCTCCACTCCATTCTCATTCAGTGCTGCCCTCTATATGCAAAACTTTTTTCACATGCCACAAGCCTTGAGCTCCCACTTTCAACGTGTTTTAATGTGTCTTGCATATAAATCATCATGTGACAATCCTCCACCAATAGGAGTGCGACACACCCTCCTGACACATGTGACTCCCTCCATTCAATTCTGCCAAACTACCACTTTTCAGTAGGCAATGATTTAGTGCAGATGTTTGTTGACTGTGCTCTTTCCATGTGTTTAATTTTTTCTAAAATAGTGTTTTGATTTAATTCTTCTTTTGCTACAATTTGTTGTCTGTAGTTTTTGCCAACTTACCTATTTTCTGAATTCTTCACCATTTATGATGAATTCTGAAGTTTGTATCACGACCTCTGATATTCTTCCAACTAATTCAAGTACCCTTACATAGTCTTCATGTCAGAGGGTCTCTTTTGAGGATTTTTTGGCTATCATTCATTGGGAAATTGATTGTTATATGAATAAACATTCTTCTCCCGATAACGTTCAACTTCCTTCTGAATCTTCTGAACTTGTTTTTGACAAGGAGGATTTTGACAGCCTTTTTCCTCCAACTTACTATGCCTAACCAAGCCTCTCCTTCAGAACCTGCTAGGCCTAACTCACCCTTTTTGGAGAGGGTTTCTCTGGTGTGTTCAGTTTTATCCATTTCCCTCGATTTCATATGATCCTGTTCCTTCCTTCTTACAAGACACCCTTCCTTAAGAGTACCTTGTTTTCCTTCCTTATCCTGACATCAGGGTTCATGCTGAGCATATCATTTCTCATTTGAAAGTGGGTGCTAGTATGCCTTGCCTTTCACGGACTTCTGATCATTATGCTTTAACTTACCATCAGGCTGATCAACCCTTTCTCAACTCCCAGCAGTTGGAGTCACTTTTGCCTGTGTGTGGGGGCTGACTCTGAAAATCCTATCTGTTTATCCCATGCACATTTTCCCACCTTCATCTTACATTTACAGCTCTCCTATGGTACTGGTCCACCATACACCTCCTTTCTAAGGCACTCCACTGATCCCCAGAGGGGTTTTGGGGAGATACATTTTCCTGGATTACTTCCACGTTAGTGTAATTGTCCTCTTCAGCCCTATCCCTTCACACGTGATTTCTTTACTGTTGGATCTTATTGGGAGGGATGCTATCTTTTCACAGGTTCATCTACCTTCCACTTATCTTTGTGACTTACAGATGGCTTCTTTTCTCCTTAGGTCTGTTTTTGGAGATATTCCCAAGTCTTTGGAATTTATGAGACAACATTCGAGCCTTTAATCTTTCATGTTTTACAATGTTGGTTTCAACATTGCAAACAATTCCAGTGACTATCTGGTGACTTCTGGTCCAGTGGGGGTGCATTTAGCCAATTTTGTTCCCCTATGGTGGGAATTTACTACCGATCCTTGAGTGATCAAAGTTTTGTCAGGACTTTTCATCCATTTCCTTTCTCTGCCACATTGTCTCCTGTACAAATATCCTTCCATTACCTCAGAATCCTGTTACCAGTCAGTGTTTATCTAAGGCTGTATTGACTCTTGTATCACAGAGAGCTATCGAGCCTGTCGGCCAACCTTTCCAAGGTTTTTACTCCAGGCTTTTTGTAGCCCCTAAGAAAACCAGGGACTGGAGTCTTCTGATTGATCTGTCCTGCCTCAACCAGTTTTTGAATCTTCCTTGCTTTACCATAGAGTTCTTTCTAATACTACGGTGGGCTTTTTCTCCAGAACTGTTGATGACCAAGGTAGACATTTACAATGCTTATCTCCATATTCCTGTCCAGATGCTATCTTTTGTTTGTCCACCATGGTGATTTGCATCATTTTTATGCCTTGCCTTTTGGGCATGCTTCAGCACCATATGTCTTTTGTTGAGTAGTTAAAGCTGGCTCCTGTTAGCTCATTCTGAACTGGAGTATTCACAACACACACATCTGCTACTGATAGAAGCAGCTAGTATGGGTTGGATTCTCAGGTTGGAGAAGTTTTTCCTTTTACCTACCCATTATCTTATCCACTTGGGTGTTTTTTCTTCAATGTCCACTTCTTCTCCAATTGATGGAGCTTTCAGCTCTCCATGCCCTTGCTGCTTCCTCTCTGTCTGCTCATGAGGTTCTATCACTTTTGAAGACTTGAGCATCTATGGAAGAACTTATTCTCTTGGGTTGGGCACATATGCGTTCTTTTCAGTGGACTCTGCATGACCAATGGAATCTTACTCGGGATTCCTTGGATTTCTAATTACCCTTCCTTTGTCTCTTTTAGATGATCTTTGTTGGAGATCTGGATTGTCTAGGAGTGTCATTTCCCTTTTAGCATGTTCAATTCGCCCTTCTTCTCTTGAAGTTTATCAGTGTAAATGGATCATCTTTTGCCATTGGTCTTTGAGTCAGGGTTTTCCCCTTCTCAGCCAACAGTTCCTCTTCTTAGGGATTTTCTCACGTGGCTGCTCAATCTTGAGGCTTCTGTCTCTACTGTAGCTGATTATTGAGCAGCCTTGTCCAACACCTTTCGTTTTTCCCAGAACCATTTGGTGTTTTCCTCACCTACCATTTCCCTTTTATTGCATTCCTTCCAAATCCATAGACTTCCTCATCGGGCAGTTCTTCTCGATTGGAATGTCAATATTGTTCTTCACTGCCTTATGTTTCCTCCATTTGAACTTTTGTTCTCATGTTCCTTGTTTCACCTGTCCTTTAAGACTTATTTCCTACTCCTTTTAGCCTGTGGGCATTGTCAGTATGATATCTTTGCCATTGATGTATATGTACACTGTACTATCCCACATATGTTCTTTTTAATCCATATCAATCTTTCCTTCCTGAAACTTCAGCAGCTCTTCCATCTATTTCCCACCTTTATTCCCGGTCAGATCTGGATAGACTTCTATGTTCCATTTGTGCTCTTCATTTTTACATTGTCTGCTTGGCTTCCTTCCATGATTCCCATTCCTGCCTTTTCACACCCTGGCGGCAATCCTCTATACATGACCTTTCTCTTTCTACCCTTACCAGTTGGTTTTGGCAAATAATTAGGTTGTCAAAGTCTTCCTGTCTCCTTCTTCCCAAAATCTGTTCTAGGTGTCATTGCACCTGATCCAGGCACCTTATCTTTTTCCCTGGTGTCTCACCTCCATCATCTGTTACAGGAAATTTTTCAGTCAGACATATGGACTACACCTCATATGTTCATTTCCCACTATCTTTGTCAGGTGGCTGTTTCTTTCCTTCTTGCAGTACCACCCTCCACCTGTATTCGTCCTTCAAACTTTGGTGAGAATGTGACTGGGTAAGTTATCTTTTCTATATACACATTTTCTTTTCGATAGCAGCTCCCTTTTAGTTGAGGATCCACTCGATGGCAAGTGTTGCCTGTCCAGGTATGTTACCTATTTCTCAATTCTGCACTGTATGGCCAATAACTCAAACTGTCGAGATGGGATGTACCACAAGATCCCTAGTAGGTTTCCTTGTGATACATTTGATACATTTGCTTCATTAATATGCCTGTTCCGGATCATACTAATGCCTGGATTTACATGGGTAAAGCAGAAGGGGATAGCTGCCCATACCTGCCATCCCTTCATTTGAATAAATAAGGAGCGATCTACCTTTCACCTGTGTCTGTATTCCTCTGCACTCTCCACTGCATTTTGTTTCCCCCCCCCCCCTTGTTCTTCTAGTGGAGTATGAGAGTCCTTGCCATTTTACATTTCCCTGCCACTGGAGTGGTGGACCATGGAAGAGTCCTCCTGAATGTAATCACTTTCATTTAGTCAAGAGTAGGGCAGTGGTGTTTTGCTGGTGTAAATGGCGTTCGATTTTGCCAATCATGCACTCCGCCTCTGTGTGGTGGGTCCAAGAAGTTGATGTTGTACCCAGCTTCTGTGCAGTTCTATCTGGAGGGTGAGGTTTCATATGTTTTCTAGAAGAAATCCACTTTTGTGTGGTGGGACCCGGAGGGTGGCATTGTGCTCCAACTTCTGTGCAGTACTGTTCGAGGGATGATGTTGAGTATATTTCATGAAAAGAAATTCTACCTCTGTGCAGTAGGTCCCGGAGATTGAGGCTGTGCCCAGCTTCTGTGCAGTTCTATCTGAAGGATAAAGTTGCATAACTTTTACTGAAGTAATCCAATTCCATGCAGTGGGATCCAGAGGCTGATGTTGTGCTCCAACCTTTCTGGTCTTATCTGGAGGATGATGTTGCTTTGGAGTAGATCCGTCACATTACAGTTCACCCCTTTGATTGGGATCGCTTGTCCTACCATCACCTGGAGGTCAGTTCCCAGTGAGTGGTTTTGGATTAGAGTTGGACCAGTCAACATAAATCCTCACTCATGTGTTGGTTTTGATTGCTCATCCTAGCTCCAATTTCATAGTTTTGCCTCATATACTCCACTTTTGTGTGGTGGGTTTTGGAGATTGATATTGCACACACATGTGCTCCAACTTCTGTGCAATGCTATCTGGACGGTGATGTTGTTTAAGATGAAGATTCTCCTTCTAGCACTCTGCCTCAGAGTTCCCCTACCTGAGGCTGCTGTTGCTTTGTGGGGTTCCAGTTGGATTGGATTTGGTTTGATGTGAACTGCCACATTGGCACATCCCTTCTAGCCATCATTTAGATATCTGGTTCCTGGATGTATGGGATTGTGGATTTGTGCACATGTGCTCCATTTAGATCAGTTTGAACAGTATATAATTCTGTTCCACTCAAATTGAGATGAAGACAGTGTGGATTGGCCTCCTAACATGGATCGGAAGTTGACATCCCAGTGCTGCTTGGATTTCAACTGGAGTTGACTGTTGTGTATGATATGTCATGCCATAGCCACACTACACCTTGAAGCATATTCATTTTAGCTTTCCCCACTTTCTGTCTGTAGATTCATCTTTGGATGTGTTCCTTGGATGCTTTCTATCTCTTGAACTGGTCCCTCCACCTATTCATTGTGGGATTCTAGCTATATATATGAGAAAAGGTAATGTACTGTATTGAAGCTTATTATTTTCCTATACTGAAATTATATTTCCAAAAGGTACTTACCTCCTCTCACACTTCCACCCCCCCCCCACACACACACTTAAAACTAGGTGAATCAAATAGAGAGAGTCACATGCATTGGGAGGGTCTGTTGCACTCCTGTTGGTGGAGGGTTGTCGCATGATGATTTACATGCAAGACACAATAAACCTTGTTAATCATGGGGTATGTGGGAGCTCAAGGCTTGTGGCATGTGAAAAAATTTTGCATATAGAGGACAACACTGAACAAGAATGGCTATACATAGCAAGAAGGTTGATTGAATTGATACTCACATTTTAGTTCTTTCTGTGCTTCCAACCTTCATTACATTATGTTATCAATTCTTTGTGATAATAAGCTCAATCATCTTATCATGATATTCACTGAACATTATGTTTTCCAGTCTTTAACTCGCACCTTAGAGACTCGAGGACGAAAATGGCCTCCATCTTCACACGAGATTGCTTTCACCATTAGCCGTCATTCAATCCACACCCGTGTGTATTTTCTAGATGGACAATACCTGACTGTAGACTTTGATCCTTGTGCTTGTATGGAGGAGGTAGGGAAATTTGAAATTCTTAAAATACACTAAGAAATGTTTTAAAATGTAAGTAAATTTTGTCTTAAAATTTAATAATTATAATAAGTTGCTTTATGTACCCCTATATGTTGTATTGTTGATGTCTTGTTAGCAAGTGCTAGTGAGGTAACCCTTCCTTCCTTTCTTCTCTCACGAACAAGACCCATTCTTGAGCTTTATCTCAGGGTCATGGGATTACCACTAATTAGGTGACAGTTTATTTATGGTGATTACTTCAGCTTGGTTTGTAAACATAGACATTTCACACACTAGTAAGTGTTCTGCAAAATCAGCTAAAAGAGTTAACTAGTGCTCATTAATAAAGGCACTTTTAACAACTCATACTATCACTTGTGCACTCATCTGTATTGTCTGTAATTAGAATAATAACATTTATTATAATTTAGTCAAGATATTTATTGGTTTTTATTTTCATTGATTGAATATTTACATTCACTTTTTAGTTGTATGTTGAGAATTGTTTTTTCAGTAACTGTCTAACCCATTGTTTTTCAATTGCTTAAATTCTTTCTGCAGGTCTTAGAAAAAGTGAAGATGAAAATTGATTTAAGACCAGATGTTCAAGGATATGCTTTGTATGATGTAATGGGTAACTCAGGTATGAAGTTACTTCAGAACTAAACCATGAAGATCATTTTAGTAACATAAAATGTTTGCTTAGTGCAAACTTTTAGTTGAAGTGATTTAAACACCCATTTTATTCATTATTAGGACGTTTTATTATTCAATAAATGCTGTAAATGCTTTGTCTTTTTTTATTTAATAACCTTTTTATTTTTGTTGTTTTTACAAAAAAATGAGTTTACTTATTTTAAATTACAAAAAAATAAATTTCAAAATGTTTTTAAAAAATATTAATCCAATGCGTTATTTCAAAAGAATAATTTGAAGATTTACATTTGTCTCAAAATTACCCATTAAAATTGATAGTTGACAACATAATTGAATCATCTGATTGAAATGTAGGAATACAGAAGAATATGATGTTTTTCTTTATAAATTCACAGAACGAGCTTTACAACCAAGAGAAAAAGTTGCAGATGCTATATCAAAGTGGGAACGGTGGCATAAAGCACAAGGAAAAAGTGTAGTTTCCAAACAGCACCACTTTATCTTAAAGGTAAATTGTATGGTAACTGTTTTTTATTATGAAGCATTATGGTATCCGGTAATTTATTTTATCACAGTATACTGTCTCATCTTGGATTTTAACCCAAGACCTGTCGCATGCCAGGCAAGTGCCAACTGAGAATACCACAGGTGCAGCTGATATGAGTTTTATTTAGTGATGGTTTGGAATAACTTGTTATAGCAAGATTTTTTTTATTTAAAATTTTGTGTAATATTTTTGCTATGCCTGATTTCAAAATGCTCTAGTTGGACGGCCATTTTGTTAAGCATGATCATATGGTTTAGAAATACTTTTTTCCTGGAATTTTAATATATATCCTTTTTTGAAAATATGAATAACAGCCCTATAACATTTTATCATGTGCATATAATTTTTTTAAATTATATCTCATATGTAAATAAATAATTTGAAAAAATATTAATTTCCCATTTCTAATTTGCTGTTGGTTTTGTACGTTTACAAAGATTTCGATGATTGTATAAAACTTTCAATAGACATTTATCAGACAGCAAATGAATAACCCAAGTTTTTTTAAGGGCTGTTCCTGTCATGCAATTAGTGTTAAAGTTATTTAAAAAAGTCTGACTGTTAGTTAGCTTTATATCTATGGTATACAGAAATGAACTGTAAGCTAAAACTAAAGTAAAAAGTAATGAGATAAAACCATACTATCCATCTGTACTGTAAAGAGCAGCTAATGTGTTAATTAACTCTTGTATGTACAGTTATTTTCAGTAGAGTAGAAGAAAATATAATTCAGAGTATTTTGTTAAATTGCTATTTCTAAAAATACCTTTTTTAATTTCACAGAAACACGTATTTCTAGATTCATACATTAACTTGAATGACCCTGTGGAAAAAGAATTACTCTATTACCAGGTGGTGCACAATATTCAGCATGATCGTTTTCCAGTTACACACCAGGAAGCAGTGAGTGTTTCACTGTAATATTTAATGATTTTGTCTAAATAAACATATCAATAATTTTCTAATTTGTGAATTTTTACTTAATGAACAAAAGACAGTTTCTATATTAAACAATTAATGCAAGTTTCTGTATTATTAATTTGTAAAGATGTTTGAAGAAAATCTTCTATGTTTACATTAATATATTCTCTGTACAGATATAATTTGGGTAACCACTTCATACAAATTAATCATTTTTATTAGCCTATGTATCTTTTATGTTTTTTTTATGAGTGATATTTTACTTTGATATTCTATAAAGCTGAGTAATTAACTCATAACTCTAATGAAACCTGTATAATTATGCTTTTTATTTTGAAAAATTCCTACCTTTTTGATGTTGACTCGTGAGAGATGTTTTAAAGAATGAACATTATGTATTTGTTGACAACCTTATTTGAAGTTTCATAAGGAGTAACATAACTTATTTAGAATTATTATGTACAAATGTACATTTTGTCCTTCAGCTAAATCCCACATTTATCCCACTATTTCAATATCATGTTCTTGATTCAAACTTTATACATTGGCCTTCTAGTCTTTTATGTTTTGTTTATATATTGTACATCATATTTCACTAAGACATCTACTTTGTTTTGTCATTTGGAGGATGGCTCTCTGCCTTTCTAGGCCCATTTTTTCTTTGTTTTGAATAGTTTTTTTTAAGTTTTTCTTCACTCATTATCTTTTGACCACTTCTCGTAACTTTTACTCCTCAGTTACGTGATATGGATATCTGTCATGCTAATGTTTATGTACTATTTTAAATAAAAGTGATATGAACAATTGATCTTTATTTGCATCTTTCTACTTTATAAGTGCATGCCTGTCAAATTATATGGCACATTGCTTGCCTTTGTAGTTGTACAACTCATCTTTTCTTGTGTTTTGTGAAAACCTAACTAGAATACAAAAATATTATTGTTTCTGCATTTAAACTGTTAATTTTAAAGTCTTGTGATGCATATGTAAATATTGTTTCAGGACAATTTTTTTCTTTTCATCATCCAGCCTAACTTATGAGTTCTGGTATTGAATGAAAGGCCTCTTGGGCAGTGATTTGTGAGAAATAGAAAACAGAACTGAAATGCTGTTTTTACATGTCTCTGATGTTTAATCTGAGATAGTTTTGAATGCTTAACCAACTTTTGGCATTTAAGCTGTAAATATTATATTTTGTTTTGTATTTTCCATTATACTTATATAGCTCCTGTGTATTCTTCTGGGGAAATAAAATTCATATATTTTTCAAAATCATGAGAATTTTCTTTGTAGTAAATGATTTTTGGCACCATCCTGTAAATCTGGCAATTCATGGAATTTCTTATAAGAGAGAAATAGTCAGTATGATGCTAATGCTTAATACTAAGTACTGTAAAGAAGGTGGATTCCAGTCATAATTAAGCATGGAAGATTCATGAAAGCAAAAGTGCATTAGTTCAGTTTCATTGATAAAAGTTTCATTTAAGTGAGATTCATTTGAAAAAGTAATTACTACAATACATATTTTTGGAGAGAAGTATTTTTTGTAATAATCATGTTCCTGGTTGATTTAGGTTTTAGAATCTAATTTTGTTGGTAATAAAAGTTCCCCCCTTTAAATGTAAAAACATATATGCTATTTTTATACTATGTTTTTTTATATTTATTTTAGCTTATGTTGTGTGCCATAAAAGCACAGTTGGAAGTGGGAGATTTCCAAGAAGGTCTTGCAGATTACCGGTATGTGCTGCATGGCTTACTAGCGTTATTCTCACTTCTGTGATAGAAAGATTTTCCTACAGTGACAGTAGAATTAAATGTAACTGATTGAGTGATATTTCAGGTTGGTTTGAAGTTATTGTAAATATTATTAAATTAATTATAACTAAACAGGTATTAAATGATGCTGTTTTTGTCAGATATTTTAGCCATCAGGTTGTGAACTTATATTTGTAAATATATCTGTTAGAACTCAAATATTAATAGATACACAATTTCAAGAAACATCACTCATCATCCTACACAAAGTTAAAATGTTTACAGCTGATCTGATACTCTTTCAAAAGGAAACAAAAATAAGTTTAAGTTAAAATGGATGTCAAAGATGCTCTTTTTATTAATAGATTAATGCCAACTTAATAATTCAAGTTCAGAGCTTAATCTCTTATTGCAAATAGCATTTTGTATTTGGATACACATTGTATTTAGTTTTCATCAGTGTAAACAAAAGACTATGTACAAACAGTTGGATGAGTGTTGTAAAAAGTAGAAACTGTCATTTCATTGAAATTGAAATAAAGCATTGTTTAATATTTGGACATTTTATATAACTGAGTCCAGGAGCATTATGGCAGATTGCCTTCCACCAAGACTGCTTACTACCATTCCACCAGAATCTGTGGTGATACAACATCAAATCCTTGCTGGAATGGATGTTGACCAAAGTAAACAAGCATTTTTAGCTCTAGTACAGTCATGGCCTCTCCACTGGGCAACCATTTTCGAGGTTACAGTAAGTAATATATTATGGAATTGAAATACTGAGACTGTTATGGAAAATAGTTTATACAGATGTATGTTTTTAATTTTATTAAAAAAATGCAGTTAAAGTATTTGATAAGGTGCTATTGATACCAGAGGTTTTTTAGGCAAGCAGGAATAATACCATTACTGAATTGCTAGGTACGAAAGTATTTGTATATTTGTAAAATAGGAAAAACTTCATTGTAGGTAACATGCTTCATTATAAAATTTACAAAAAGTAAAATATTGAAAACCATAGTAAGTTTGAGGACTGCAACTGCCTATTGAATTAAAAGGGAGATAACGTTCCAGCTTTATACTGAGGCTTCTTCAGGTCATTGTAGGTACTTATGTAATATCTTATAAAGGTAAGAGTAGTCTTGTAGTAAAGCTCAAGCTGTATAGGTAGAGCTGGTGTGGTGATTATTGAGTGTTGTCAGTAGGGCTGTAATGTCATCGTATTAACTGCAGAGTTTGTTGATGGTAGTTGTCTACTATTGGGCTGTATTTTATGTGTGTAATGATTAATAAAATGAAGGATAGGTTATTTTACATGCATAGTGAATGTGTGGAACAACACTCCACATTGGAATAAATTTCTGACATCGTTATGTATTTCAATACTATAATTGCAATCCATGAATAAATATGAACAATTTGCAGTTCAAGCAGAACTGTAAGATTCCTTAAATGTAATGATTTCTTTCAGCAATCGTATACGTCATCTTGGCCAAAGGTTCTATGGTTGGCAGTTGATCAAATAGGAATCCACTTATTGGAACTACGTAGCAGGGTAAACATAATTTCTCATCCTAAAATATTACTTACATAAAGTGTTTAAAAGAAACATAAAGTCAAATAATCATACTAAGTTTTAATGTAAAAAATAATTTTGTTTTTATTTCCTAAATAAATATGAAATTGTTGACAAATCATACCATATGGTGTATTTGATAGAATCATAATATCATGGCCTGGTATGGCCAGGTGGTTAGGGAGCTCGACTCATAATCTGCGGGTTGCAGGTTTGAATCCCCCATCCCACCAAACATGCTCATCCTTTCAGCCATAGGGGCATTATAATGTGATGGTCAATCCCACTATTCGTTGGTAAAAGAGTAGCCCAAGAGTTTTTGGTGGGTGGTAATGACTCTAGTCTTACAGTGCTAAATTAGAGATGGCTAGCACAAATAGCCCTCGTGTAACTTTGTGCAAAATTCAAAACAAACAAACAAACATCATTTACAAGCATCATTACACAGTGTACATGTTATACTGAAAGAAGGAAGCTCACTAATGATGTAAGTTATGTTTTTTAATTGCTATCTAAAAAAACAGTAGCTTGTAGATATTTCAACTGCTCTATCACTATAATTCAGTAATAAGAAATTATGATGTCCTGTAGTTTTTTTATATCCTATTATTTTTATCACTTAATTTCTTTTTTCAGTCTTTTGTTTTATACACATAAAAATACAAGAAAAGATATTTCATTTTCTCAGACTTGTATTAGTTTTCCTGTACTCTGATTTGAAAGAGAAATGTATATTTATGCTGAGATCAGGATCAGTCAGATTTTTTAAAATGTATTGTTGATAATTTTAATATAAGATGAAATTCAGTTCAATCTTAAGACTTATCTATTTCAATAGAGCATTCTGAGCACCTGTGAATATCAGAACATTATCAACTACAGTCCTTCACATAACTCCCTAATGATTGTGACAGGATCTGGTCGTAAAGGTTGCAAGTATATCTTCACAACAAATCATGTAAGATATTTTTATAAATAGACTTGTTTTCATTTAACTTGCTATGTTACAAAGTTTTTTAAGTAAAATTAAATATTGTAGAAAGTGTAGATTTAATACGACATACTGTGGTCTGCTATTTGCACTCTGAGTCAAACACTGACTGAGCTATAATTTGGTGGCCTGTGTAATTCTATTCTCTCAGTTGTCAGAAATAATATTATATAGAGCTAGCATTATATTACTAAAATTCACATTTTTGCTTTGCTTTATTTTCTTTTAAAAAGTCTTCCAAAACCAAGGATGAACTGAATCAAAAATTTATATGAAAACTTCTCTGCTTGTCCAAGTATTTCTTCCAAGTCAGTACAAAAATTAATGTAGAAATTCTTGTAAAACCTAAATATCAAACTTCCTTCAAAATTTTATGATTCACAAGCTGTTCTTGCATATACGTGCAATTCCACATGGATGTAACTACCACAGCTGATTTTTTCCACCACTTAAATGGCATTTGAGCATGTTATTGGCTCAGGATGTAATGGTTGATTTGCCAGGAGTTGGCTAAATTTTGCAGTCTTCTGACTGTTGGTTGTCCTCTTATACTTTTTACTGCTTTGCCTGTACATGACGATGAAGATTTGAGCAGCTTAGTTCCTCCTTCTGCCTATGACTCCCAGTTGCATGTCATTTCTGGGGAGTGGTCCAGACCTCTTTTCTTTTTGGTAAACTTATTAAATCAGGTAGGATATGTTTTATCATTACCTCCCAGTTCTTTACATTCTATTCCTGTCCTTTTCTGTGACTAGCCATGAGGTTAGTTTTAGTGTTCCCTGAACCCCTCAAGAGTATATTTTAGGACCAGTTAAGTTCAGGGGTACGTATACCTCGACACCCATGTACTATGGACAACTGTGCTCTGGCATGTTGTTCTTCTGACTTCCCTCCTTAGGCTTGCAGAGAGATGTGTAGCTTGTCCCTTGGTAGGAATCGAACCTCTTAATTTGATTTTGAGTATGGCATTTTTGTTTAGTACCAGGTGATTGTTTTTTTGGGGGGAGGGCATTCCCGAATCTCGGGAGCCCAGAGTTAGGTCAGCCCTGTTGCTTCACTTCACTTGGCCTTTGTTCTATTCCACACCCCCTTGTTCCTGTACCTCCTCTTGGTCGGTTCTAGCCTCCCAAATGTTTGCAGTTTGCCATTTGTCGTTGGAGCCTTGTTTATGGGGCAACCAGTGGTCTTGGTGACTTTGGAGGGTTTGGGCCCAGTGGTGACCAGGCTCGTGTCCCCTCAGTGGGAGAACGTTATGTATATGGACTTTCAACACTAGGGTTCAGGGTTTGATTCCACATAGCAAAAGTAGCAATTGGCCCAATGTGGCTTTGCTCTACAATATACACACATCTTTACTTTATCAGACATGGTACAACAGTGTTTTCAACTGCTTTGTTCAAGTTTGGAGATGATTACTCACAGATCTTTGGTTGCTGAGATTATTGCATTTGGTCTGGTCCTTTTTCAAATTGCCTTCCTTCTCTGGTTTCCATTTCTTGCCAGAGTTTTTAGAAAGTAGTTTGGAATTTGCTCTGTACAGATGCCATCATCTGGAGAGATCCCTATATTTGGGGTTTATTGGTCCTTCTAGTTTGCAGCCTCTCATCCTCTGCTTCTCCGATTTTGCATATGGTCTCTCTCATTTGGGTACCTGGGCTTCTAAGAAGCCCCCATTCCTATTGGTCATGTCCTTTTGTGTTGTCTTTGATGGGTTTGTTGGTCCAATGGAGCCTCATTTGGGATCCCTTGAAGGCTCTTTTCATCCTTCCTTTCCGATCGACTTAGCCTGGTTGGTGGGATTGGGTGTACATCTTTTTTGGTGTTCCTCCTCTAAGTCCATAATGTCTCCTTTTCTGGATGCTTCCCTTTATGGTTGGAGTGATTTTCTGGGTGCTTGAGAGGTTTTTGGGTTGATAGTCTCTCTCTCAAAGTCCTCTTGCCTTTCAAACATTGTGGGCTCCTAGCAGTTCATTGGGCTCTGGTTTACTTCCTACTGGTCCTACAGTGACAGCCAGTGGTAGTGTTTTCCAATTACTTATCGCTATCTCGTACGTCTTCAGGCAAGTGGGCACTCAGTTAAATGACCTCTGGTATAGGTCTTTGGTCCTCCTATGTTGGGTCCCAGCCTTCATATTCTTGTTCTGGCTTGTCATATTCTGGATGCTGTATCACGTGGCATATTGTTTATCTCTGCCCATTTGGGGTTTTCCCATGATGACTACTCCCCTTGTTTGATCTTGGAATCCTACCCAGTCCTGTGACCATTATCCAATTCCCTTTATGGTAGGATTTGCCTGGCTTATTTTTTCCTCTCAACAGATTGATATGGTCTTTTCCAAGCATTTCCCTCAGTATTCGTCACCTTGCCCTGTCCCTGGCTGCTCATTTCTTTCATCCATTGGAGAACTTCTATGGTGCCACTCTATGTGGACCACTCCCCATATCTTTACTGTTTATTGTCCTCATTAACTGGCCATTTCTTGTTCTGAGGGATTTCATTTTCCTCCAGTTGCCATTTTGTGCTTCTGTGTTTCGATGTTTCTTTGCAGGGGCCTTGTTGCATATTTGGATCCCACTCTGTGGTGAGTGATGCCTGACTTGGTATACTTAGTCATAAATCTGCAGTGTAAGATTTGTGTTCATATACCATACTAGATGACCGTGAGATCGAGGCTCTTCCTACCATATACCTGATGTACAATTCCAAATGCCACCCGGTGTTGCTTGATCAACTCCATCAGTATGTTCTCTATGCTTTCAAAGTACAATATTGTAATACATCACCAGGTGATGTTACACTCACCATTGAGATGTGGTGTTCCACTGGATTGCTCATAGGAATACCTCACTGTCTTTTCCTTCATAAATATCTTCCTCCCTGCAATACACTCATGGACTAACATGAGTAAAGCAGACAGGGATTGCTGCCCACCTATGATAACCCACGGTATTTGATGCTCATCCTACTATAGACCTGATGTACAATTGCAGATGGCACCAGGTGTTGGATGATGCATTCTTTCTACATGATCGCTCTGCTTTTCAAAAATAGGGTATTGCAGTCACCCATTGCACTATTTCCTGATGCTGTGGTCCTCCGGACTCTCCAATGCATTATTTCCCTTCTTCTTCTAGTGAAGTATGGGAGCCCTTGCCACTTACCAGTTCCTAGCTGTTGGGGTGGTGAACCATGGAAACTTGTCCTCCTAAGTGTGCACAATACTGCTCAGTTGAGAGTAGGGCAGTGGTATCTGCCAGTGTAGATGGCGTGATGTCCTTCCAACTACGAACCTGATGTTTAATTCCAGGTACCACTAGGTATTGGATGTAGCACTCTGCCATATATATATTGAAGTTTGCCCCTCTGGCTGAGGCACCCTCCTTCCTACCATTCACTGGATGTCGTTTCCCAGATGGTCTGGTAATGGTTGGAGCTGGACCAGCCACAAAGTCTTCACATGTGTTTTGATGGTTACCCTCTTCATTCTGCAGATTAGATGATAAATTCCCAATGCTGCCAAATTTTGGACTGGTGCTGCAACCACAAATAGTGGTCCTCTTCTTATCGTCTGATGGATGTCAGTTTCCAGTGGATCTGGTGTTGGTTGTAGCTGGAAAAGACACATGAATTATTGCATGTGTAAGGCTGGGTACCCTCCTCCTACTGCAGAGTGGACAAAAAATTCCCAATACTACCAGGTTTTGGATGAGATATGAATACCCACCTGAGTCTGGTGTTGGTTGTGTTGCAGGTGCATGCATGCAGAAGTAGGTTCTTAGTACAGGAGCTCCTCTACCCTGCTGCTACCCATTTTGAGGTGAATGGTAGAGAACCCTCTTCCTACTGCAGACCTGATGTACAATTCCAGGTGCCACTGTGTATGTTGTTTTTAGTTCATTCCCCCAACCCATGGATTTCGTTTGGGCACTTCCTAAAGGAGATCATCTTCTCACCAGCCATCCACCTGTTCAATATGGGATTTTAGCTTTTTGTGAGCGGAGGTAAGATATTGTATCTGAAGTTAACATTTTCTTAAACTGAAAATGTATTCATACCTCTTCTCACATTTCTCACCTGTCCTCCCCAATTCCGGTCTGGTTTGTGTGATCTAACCAATCTCGAGGTGGTTACCAGCTGTAAGATTAGAGAGTGTGCTAGTTACAATAGAGTTAGTGTCACATTCCTATTGGTGTCACATTCTCCTAACCATTTGCATGTTAGTATGCAGATATCACACATTAACATACATGAGGATAAGTGGGAATATCAAGGTAAGTGTAAATTTGTGCTGATAAAGGGCAGCATAAGCCTAGAAAGCTTTTTTGCGAGAGAAGGGAGAATGTTATCTTTGTAGCTTTGCACTAAAAATACAAGAAAAATTGCACTGGAAGATAGGCTTCTCGTAATATACTTTACTGTATTGTTTGTTTGAGTCAAATAAAGGTTTTGGGACACCTTGTATTTTAATATTTATGTCTTGTACTCTATTTTGATATAAATATATGTATATACATATATGAATATTCTCCATGTTATTTTAGCTCAGTTCAACAGTGATCTCATCAGTACATACAATACTTTATGAATCAGATTATTATTGTTTTCAACAGTGGTCTCACCATTACATATGAAATTTTATGAAAATGATCATGTTTTTTATGTTCTCACCATATCTTACTGTTATTTCTGTTATTCAATGTTATAGCTGATATCTGCTTATTTTAAAAGTTGGAGATATTTCAAAGAAACAACATCTGCATAAGGTCCTTTCCAAGTTCTTGAAATATCTCGTACTTACATTATTAGAAATTTTCTCTTCTGAAAATGTATAGAGAATTGGCATCAAGCATGACATATATATATATATATATACTATCACTCTTCTTCATTGCATTTTATTTATCTGTGCATTAAGTGAGTTGAATTATTTGAAATCTAAAACACTTTATAGAATATGTATGTATATGATGCTTATGGGTTTATGATACATACATGTAAATGCAGGTATTATATTTTCGTGTCATATTGTGTTGCATTTATTATTGTTTTAGTTTTTATTATTATTGTTATTTTTTGCTGTGTTATTGGGCTACTAAATATTTACATTATTTCAGGCTGTACAAATAGCACACCTGATACGAGATTATGCTAATGCTCTAGTCAAGGAACATCGTCCCCTACAAATTGAACGACGACGTAAGATGCAGGAGCTAGCTGCAGATCCAGACAGTCAGAGAACACGACCTGTAAGCATACTGTTCAAACTTGCACCCTCTCTTTCAGTGCAAGATCTTGCCTGACTGAGAAAGAAAAATAGGTTAGGAAATTAACGAAAGTTTGGAATATGTCTGTTTAATGCTTCTTGGTGCCTTTTGGACATTTGGATGATTTTTAGAAAATTGTAAGCTAAATAAATTGAAAACCATGTTTATGCTGAGAATAGAGTTTGAAGTATACAGTTGAGCCATTCGGATAGAAAACTATTCGTGCATCTTTTTTTGGGGAACAGAATTGTCCTCCTGAATAAAAACTATTAACATGAGTTTTTATATTGTATCAGTGAATACTGTGAATGTTTAGGACATTATAGGAATTGAAAATGTGTAGTTTTATTACATCTGCAAAAGCAAATACTGACATGCTGTTGCCACTTTCTGAGTAAATACAAATAATGATGTTGTGATTATATCATGCTTGTAAAATATTACCATCAAGGGTTCATTTTATAATATAATTTTTAACATGATTCAAGTTCTAGTCAAAAATCAACATCTAATTAGTTAACGTTTTATACACATTTATCAGCACATACATAAAGATCTTGGAACTTTATAGCTTCTAGTTTAAGCAAGATAGGGTATATGTTTTCAATAGATTTATATCTCCTGAACATTAAATTTTAAATAATACACAAGACATTTACATAATTTGCTTAAAAATACTGAAATTATACGTGTGGATTTTATTTTGTGTCCCACCGGAAACATATTATACAATATTTAATGTAGCAAAATGTCATCTACTAGCTGTTCAGTATGAGATTAGATATTATATATATACTTTGGTTGATAATCAGTACAAAAACTTCTAGTTGTTAACACTCTGTATTGTTCAGATTATCTAAAGCACTTGGATTAGTCTGTTACAAAAAATATTTTAGTTTTTTATTCAACTTTTGTTTGCATTTTTTGTTCTTTGTGCAATTTACAGTTTTATTTATTTCAGTTTTATTAGTTTCTCTATTTGTGATTTGTTCATTATGCACTATAAGTGTTAATTTCCAGAAAATTTGGCCTTATTAAAAAAAAAAATAAGCTGTTAAAATCACCATAAGGTAAATTGTTGGTGAACTTTTTAAATCCATGCTAATGACTCCCAGATGGCAGTTTCATCTGTAGCTCAATCTTTCTGATTTCATGGTGAACTTGTATTAATTCTGGTATCTCCCAGTTGGTGGTCTATCTATTGTTCAGTCTTGTTAATTTCATGGATGACTTAAATACATGCTAGTGTCTCCCAGTTGGTTGTCTCTTCTGTAGCTCAATCTTTCTGATTTCATGGTGAATTCTGGTATCTCCCAGTTGGTGGTCTATCTATTGTTCAGTCTTGTTAATTTCATGGATGACTTAAATACATGCTAGTGTCTCCCAGTTGGTTGTCTCTTCTGTAGCTCAATCTTTCTGATTTCATGGTGAATTCTGGTATCTCCCAGTTGGTGGTCTATCTATTGTTCAGTCTTGTTAATTTCATGGATGACTTAAATACATGCTAGTGTCTCCCAGTTGGTTGTCTCTTCTGTAGCTCATTAAACTATGTAAGAAATTATGTGTGGTGGTTGTTGAAAGATAAAAGAAAATGTGTTGTAGGTTAAACCACTGAAGACAACAAGATGTTAACTACAGATATATATATATATATTTATAATATATACTGTTGTAGATACAATATTTTGGGCAATGCCCTTCATCAGGTATCTCTAGCTGAACAGTAAAACTGTAAGTGAGAAAGTTCTAAACCAAAGGTTGCGTGACAATATAGCAAATAAACGTGTTTAACAATGTTTACAAACACTTGAAACAATATGAGAGAATTAGAAAGTTATATATATAAATAAATAGCTTACAAACTATTGATTACATTAATTGTTAATAGGTGATTAAATGACTTAAACATCACTCTAACGTTATCAGTCCAGGTTGTCAACTTATTGTCATAACAGATAATGTCTTAGGGATATCCCATTTATCAGACAAAATCGAAACGCCAATGTCAGTCTAGTCAGCCGTCATGGAAAATCATAAAAAAATAAACTAAGGGTACAAGCTGAGTGCTTACACCCACAACGTCTCAGCTTCTACTGCCTTTCACTTAAAGTAGAAATGAATTGAAATGAAGCCACCCTAATATTTCTACTAATTAAACTTCCAACCTTCACTCTTACAAAGAGATATTAAATAGAACTATAAGGTAACTGCCTTCCCACAACTGGCTATAGACCATAGAAGGTGATCAAATAAAATAAATTAGACTTTTAGAGAGAAAAA